GGTCTGGGACAAAACCCAGCCGGCTATTGCATTCGACATGGCTATTAAAGGAATAATGCTGCTGATCCTCCTTACAAAGTGCCCTGAGAAATGGTTTAGCCAAATCACAGTGCCTCTTGTCACACTGAATCATGTTCAGCCGTTCTCTTCCGTGACCAAATTGCTGATATTTAACTGCTTCCTTGTTTTCCCCATTCTGTGAAGGGGGGACAGTACAGGACGAAGAAAAGTATGAAAGCAAGGGGAAGTTGATCCTATAATTTTCTGGCTGAATTTCAGTGCTTTGAGGTATGTGTACACTGCCCCATACAGCATCTATAAAAGAGGTGCATGTCACCAAGCAACTTTATTTTTAGCTACTACAGTGAGTACTTTAAAATAAATTTTAAAGGATTTCAGTGATTCCAGTAACACAGAATTGTTCACTTTAGGGTTGCACTGAGCCCGGTTCTGTGTAGCAACTGCAGTTAATAAATAATAAATACAGGTTTCCAGTAGTTCTGAGAAGAGGAACCTCTGCCTCTTCCTTGTTTCAGTCTCGGTGGGATCTCGCATTTCCTAAGCGGCTTTGAGAAAACTTTGCTGTCACAGTGTGGCTGGCACTGCCACCCAAGCTGAGAGGTCTGTCCTTCCAGCAGAGGAATTTGGGGTACCCAGGCTCCCAGAGCAGCTGCTGAGCACAGGCTCCTGCCATGGCATTTGAGTGACCTCTCCCTCCACCGCCCGTGCTCGCTCCGGCCCTGCTCCCATCCCTGGGCTGGGCAGCAGCACAGCTCAGGGAGGTCAGAGGTTCCTCATAATTCACCTGGTGCCCTCAGAATAACAGATGGTTTTGTCACAGGACAGTGTGTCAGGGTCTGCCAGGCCAAAAGCTCTGCTGAGGGAGCCAGGTTTGCTCAAAGCCTGACACAGCAGAGCAAGAATGTCTCCAGTGCAACATGGGAGCTTCTTTCTGCACCTGTAAATCCCCAGCTGATACCCAGAGTGAGCCAAATTGCAGTTGTTAGACCAAAATAAGAATTACGTGTATTTATTTTGCAGCAAAGAAATTGCAGTAGTAATTTAGTGTTAATTTGCAGTGAAAGTCAAGTTTACTCCTTAAAAAAAGTACAAATTGTGGATTTTACTCACGAAAACATTTTGGCATGGGGATAACGTGGACCATAAACTCTATTTGAAGGAAACAATTGCTTGAATGTTTCCTTCTCTTACTGCCCTCTCATAGCTAAAAAGCTCTTCAGTGCTTTCATTCAATTTGTCTGCCACTTCTCAAAATGCAACAAGATGTGAAGACAGACACTAACCTATTCAGTGCAGAAAACTTTCTGTGCAGTGATATCAATTAAAAATGTATAATTAGTTTTAAACTGGCAAAATAATTAAGGTAATGTGCTTCAGGTGTGAAGAATCTGTTATCAAGGATTCCCTGTACAATGACAAGTTCTGTGTTTTTGGAACTGGTAGAGGTGAAATCATCTGTGTTGTTTATGGTTGTGTGCTCTAACACACAATGTTTACCAGGGACAGCAGTAAGCCCAGGCTGGAGCAGGGTTTCTTCTCAGTGCAGCTGATTTGCCATTTTGTTATATTAATTTCCAAAATGTGCAGAAGTAAAAGTCTTTATTTGGTATGTTTTAAAACATGTTAAAAAACTCTTTTCCCATAAATGATTCCTTCTGGAGCAAGAGCAGAGGATGAGAAGGGTGAATGTGTTCTTCCACCCCTTTTGTAATGAAGACTTCTCTTTGTGGAAGGGAAGGGCTGGCTGTCATCTCTTGGAAGAGTTTTGTGTTTGATTTGCACTCGAGTTTTGGATCTACTCTGAACGCCTGTCCCCTCCTGATGGCCTTGCACAGGTCACAACAAGCAGCAAAGGCACTGATGACTTGTGTGTGCTGACAGGTAGAATTGTGCCTTTTGTACAGTCATGAAATCTTGAACTGAGTCACCTGTTTTGTCATAAGCTACCTGAAGTACAGGAATAGAGCCTTCAGGTGTGCTGAAGGCCTTTGGGATGAGCTGGTTAAAGTTGTTAAAGGAAATGGCTCTGTGTCCTCCCACTAAAACCATAGGATTTATGTGGGTGACACAGGCTGGCTGCTTTCTTTTTATATGGTTCAGATTTATCACTTCATTGAGTGATTCATGGCAGCATTTTTAAAGGACTGGTTGATTCGTGATTGAAGGATATTTTTTAGAAACAAAAGGCAAAGGAGAATGACATAGATTTGGAGGCCTTCCTAATTTTTCTGCAAGCACTCATTCTGTTTTTTTTAAATTTGTCTTCTGAATTGTCAGTTGCCTGTACACATGTTGAACTGTACATATTTATGGCTTAGAACATGGAAACACAAGGAACAGAGGACTTTTGTTTAGCTCTCAGGCCAGTCCTAGCACCTCCCCTGTGTCCCTGGCCAGACTGGCTGTGTTTGCAGTGCCCTCAGTGACAGGCAGCTTTTCTGCACCTTCCCAGGGGAGGGGACATTGCTCTGCTCTTCTTTATTGCCCTCTCTTTGCACACCTGGCTCTGACTGCCAGCACAGCTGGGGAAACTGCTGCTCGTGCCATTGCTTCAGGGCAGTTCTAGGCACCAGGACATGTTTAGCACAGAGCTATCAGAGTTCCAAACTGCTGAAAGAGGTCTGGGATTTGGGAACTCTTGAACCAAGTTCCACTTACAGAAAGTAATGGCAAGGACAGTAGGTTACATACATGTATTAAGCTGAGTCACTTCAAGGAATTTTCATTGTTAGGTACCCCACATCACTTAGTAAAGTACATAAATGTGTGCATCCTTCGGTGCTCCACTGTTGGGAATTTTCTTGTACACCCGAATTAATTTCACCACCTGTGAAAAGAGATGTGTCAGAGGCCATTGGAGCATCATTCTGGAGAAGTAACATTTGGACCCTTACTTCAGTCTATCATGAGACACTCCTAAAATGTACAACAAGACAAGCTGCAAGGGGAGAAAGTGGACAGAATTATCAGTTGTAGAGCTGGCATTGATTTGTATGCAGATGATGCTTAAATCAGGTAATGTGCAGGACTATTAAATGGTTGGGTTTTAATTAATTAATTAAAATTAAATTAAAATTTAATTAATTGATCAGAATCAGACTAACCAGCTGGTTCAGTCATCAGTTTGGAGACATTTTCTCAGACTATTTTTAGAATAGTCTGTTTATTTGGAAAATCTGTTTTTGCATAATTCAATCACAGGCATGGTTCTCATAATCCCAGTTTTTTTCAAGACCTTTCAATGGACCTTGATGTTATTCCTGCAGTATCAGTCATTCCTCTGGCAGGAGTAAATGGCAGCTGAGCAGAGCCAAAGCTGATACTTGAATCAGGACAGTTGGCAAAGCAAAGTCTGTTGTTCTGATGTGGAAGTGAGATCTGATTTTGCAGTGATACTGCTAGCAAACTGTGGCAATGTAAATGGTTTAACTTTAAAGTTCTCATTTTCCCTCCATTTTCCATGAGGGCACTAATCAAATTAATGTTTTGTGCAGGTCAGGAGTGACAGGTTTTTCTCAGGGCTCACTGAGTGCTGACAGTGGGCTGTATTTATTAACAGTGCCTGCAATAATCTGTCAGCTAAATGGAGGATTGGAGATTTTCATAGCAGAAACAGATAAGTCTTTGCAAGAGATGTTCTTCAAATGATCAGTGTCTTAGGCCCAATGCACATAATTTTTTCTATAGAATAATATTCCTGATGTAATAGATAACTGTTGACGAAAACTGAGATGTTTTCAGAGGAGAAGCAGTGTCTCATTACAGATCCAATGTGAAATCTTTCCTTATAGCTTTGAGAATAAATGGATGTATTGCATTAGAACTCGTAAAGCCATGTGAAACAATTGCCTCCAAATGTGCAGCAGTGGCTCCTGAGCAGCATTGCTGGGTTGTGCTTGGGCTGTGTGAGCCCTGCCCAGGCTCACCTGCAGCTTCTGACAGTGAAATGCTTACGTGGTGATGTATTCCCAGAGTGTTCACAGCGTGTTCCTGCATTCCTCCCTTGCTTCTCACATCTTGCACACCCAGGGGGGTTCTGTGCATTTTGTCTGTAATTTTTTGTGGCTGTGGCAGTCAAGTTTTGGGTGTTTCATACCTTCCTCAGCCACTGACAGGAGATGAATTATATTGATTTGTGATTTGAAAATAAGCGTGACTTGGTGGATTTCTAAATGCCAAGATCTCCAGAAGATGTAAAATCACATATTGTTGAGAGTACCTCACAACTGTTGTTAATAATAGATTGGCTAATAATATAATGACAGTTTTTAATAATACAAGATTTGAAAGATGGAGAGTAATGCTACATCTCCCTGGGTAGGACTGAGCAAAGGCTTGAGGAAAAAGTCAATCTTCACAGCTGGAGCAATTATTTGTTAGGTATTAGCTACAGCCTCAGCAAAAATCTGCTGTGAACAACACAGAGAGCTGTCTTGAGAGAACTGTAGCCAGTGTGGGAACCTCAGGGGTGCTCAGTCTGTCAGCTGGGATGGTTGATGTCTGGTGCTACCGTGTCACTAATCATGTGGTTCACAAAGTACCCAAAAACACTGGGAACATCACTTATATACACCCTGAACTCACCACTAATTCAGCATTCCTAATTCTTACCTGCCCAGCCCAAAGCCCTTAAACTTTCCAAGGTGTGAAGAGTCTCCATGATACTCTCCAGGTTTCTGTGGTCCCCAAATGATACCTCTGTAAGATTTGTGTGAACTGCTGCAAATACACTTTCCCCCAGCTTGCTCTGTCAGCCAGGCATGGTGAATCAGATGCACTATTGTACAGGAGATAGAATTGCCAAAGCAAAGAAAATCAACTGGAAAATATGGTTGGTATATTGGTCCAGTATCAACTGGTAGTTTTGATGGTTCCAATAATTATTTCTGAGACCATGCTTAAGGATAATGTGTGTCTTTGTACGTTCTTGCATGTATGTAAAGCCGAATGACAGGTTTGTTTTCATTTTTTTTTTCCAGAATTATAGATCAGCGGTTTGAGAAAGTTTCATATTTTGTCTTTGGAGATTTCAACTTCAGACTGGATGCCAAAGCAGTAGTAGAGGTAGGACTTCTCTTTTTCTTCTGTTGTAGATCCTACCAGGTTTGATTTCTCTTTTTTTTTTTTTTCCCTGTAGAAAACCTAAAAGTGACTTAACGAAGTAATGTTAATATTGACTTGGCCAAGACTACTTCTAACAGGAACATCAAACAAGTAACTAACATTGTGTGGTTGTGACTTCTGCCATCTCCTTATAGCTCACAGTGAATCAGAATAATTTCCTGAAAACAGAGGAAGTGCTGCATTACCTTCCTACTCTGAGGAAAAATGAAGCATTTCCTAAATGTCCGTGACAGAACTCCACACTTTAAAAAATGCAGGCAATGATCAGTACCAGTGCCAGCAGCATCTTGATGTGGAAGGGTGACTGGGAGATTTGTATAAAGCCAAAAGAATGTACTAAACCTTTTTCATTATGAGTTGAAATAACCTTTAGTTGAATGCTGAAGCTCCAGGTAAGGTGGTGTCAGAAACAATACCCAGATTGAAAACCAGTCTGATCTTACGTTTTTCCCACTTTAATTCTCTGAGGTACTTCAATGTCTTTTTGGTGCTTTGAGGGTAGAGATGTATCTCTTGAGCCAAAAGTTTTATTTTGTAAATCAAACTGTGGGAAATGTCCTGTGTGCCAAAGGCTGGCTTCCCCCATTCAGGTGCAGTGCTCTTCTCCTTCCCTGCGAGACGAGTAGTCCATCTGTTGAAAAACAGGAGTTTGATGTTACAACCTTGCATATGGAGCTAATAACTTCTTCTTGGAATCCTTTCTGTTGTGCAGTAATTTAGCCAACAAGCTTAAAGCATAGCTGAAATGGAAGTCAAGTCACTAATTCAGAATATGAATCTTAATACTGCATATGTTAAGGGTTAAATCCAGCTCTGCTACCCTGTGGCTGCTGTAGTTACCATCAATGCTCACTTGGTAGTGATCACTTGAAGCAACTATTACACCTTTTTTTCTTCACTAGTGGTGTGATGGTACTAATGAGGATTTTGCTGTCTGAGAACCCCTGTCAGTCCCACTGCAGCAGAGTTACCTCCTGCACTCTGTACTGATGAAGGGTGCTGCAAGTTTTTCCTGGCTTACATACTGCCAGCAGTCTGCAGGGTGTTTGCTTTAGTACCAATAGATCAAGATATTTACATTTATATCTGTGAGTTTCAAAACCCCCATCAAACAAAATAGTGTCACTGACCCCAAGTGATGGAAACTGAGTGAGCTGCAGAGCAAGTAGGGTTTTGAGCCTGACACAGTGCTCTGCATCTTGGGACTGCTTTACCTCTGCCAGTATACGTTGCTTCATGTGAGCACAAAAGGTGTAATTGAAAGATGAATCAAATTAATTTTTTCGTTCTTCCTACCTAAGATGCAAGCCTGTGTGAGTGTACAAAGCACTAGGATAATACAGATTTTCTTTGGGTTTTTTTTTTGAGAAGTAGCATAGCCCAGTAATCAGAACTTCACCCAGCCACTCTGCAGTGTTAATTAAGCATAATTGAAGTTGATTCAGAAACTTCCACTTACAGCTTATCCATGGACAGCTAAAGTCACAGTAAGTTTGTTTTGCAGTGTTCTGTACCTAGTGCAGTTTATAAATCTGTATGTCAGCAGACCCTAAAGCTGTAAGAAACAGTTTTTGGATGTGTCTCGGACTGCCTCCAGGCACCAGGACATCCTGAGTTAATACTCAGTGTACAGCACTGCCAGTGTACAGGGCTGGCTCCTGGATGATACATCAGTTCCTGAAGTATCACTTGGAAGGACAGAGCTATAGGTCACCTCCAGAGGGAATTGTACTAGATAGGACTTGGTGGTTTGATTTAAGATCCAGGCTCAAATCACTTCATGAAGTAGCTTGTAAGGGGTGTGACTCAAATGTGCTGTTCTGGAGCTGGCCAAGTGCTGGGACATGGCCATGTACATCTGGCAGTGGCAGAACAAGAGGAACAAGAGCAGCCAGAGGTGCTTCTGTCCCAAATGCTCAGTGCCAGCCCCAGGCTGAGCCTGTGCCCAGCTGGGAACCTCCCAAGCCAAAGGCTGGCCCAGTGTCTTCTGGTATTCAGACGTGTGCCCGTGCAAATGGGTAATAACTGCTCTTGGGACTGCTCAGCAGTGGAGTTCATACTGGGAATTGTAAGGGTTAATCCATTGACCTGTCATCTTTGTGTATGTTACTAAATTTATCTGTTTTTCTTACTGACCTTTTGAATTCCCTCTTGAGACCACAGCTGCTGAACACTTAAACACTGAGATGCTACAAGCCATGCTTGTGTTATGTAAATGCAGACTGTGCTTACATCAAGCATAAAGAGTAAAGTGTATTTGTAAATAATTTCCCAATTAAGCCATTTAAAGGGAGAATCTGAGAGCTGTTCAGAATGTGGAGTTCAGATCCTGATGTGCACTGTCCTAAATCAGATGCAAAAAATAGTTGTGCATATTAATTCATAATTAATAGACTATAAATCATTAATATGTAATTTATTAAACACTTATGGGAGCTTTAATTTAAAGTCACATTGATCTACTTGCTAAGAAAATCTGCTTTCCTGTTGTTGGAGTCATCCAGGGGAGGTTGTTACTGGTACATGGGCAATGCCAGGTGCTGTTGCTGAGGTAGCACCAGTAAATCTGTTTTAGTCACCATTCAAGTGTTTTAGGTGGGTTTAGACCAAGTAAGAGTATTTTTTTCAGTCAGCTGGACATAGTAACAATCTGCATTAATCTCTGAGAAATACTTTAATATTTAAAATATTAAATATTTTAATATGTTTAATCTAATTTTTATTAACTTTATTTATTTAATTATTGCATTATTGAATTATTATTTTTAAATTTTATTTAATTTTATTTAATTTTTTAATAATTTAATAATTTAAATATTGAATATTTTCATTGAAACTCTAAATGCTTCCTCGTCCAGTACATTCATTTTAGGAAAATATAAACAGGCTTAAAAAACTGGGCTTATTTTGACTGTTGGAGAATAAAACACTCTTTTTGAGACTGCTGATTCAGGAGTCTCTTAGAAAAGTACCTTGTACTTCCAAGAAAAAAATAAAAAAATATTGCGTGCTTCTCAATCCCAAGAACAGCAGCTCAGTAACGAGTTCCGTTTGTCAGGATTTAGGAGAAAGTCACATTAATCACCAAATCCATTTGCTCAAGGTAAACCATAACCTTGCTTTGTATCCAGGAAAAAACAGGTTTTATTTTTCCCTCACTAAAGCACATTTTGTTAGGGTTGGTGGTAGCTTGGTGAGCTGGAGAGGGATTAAGTGTATCGTATGTGAAAATTTATAAAGGTAGCAACAGAAGTGGTGTTCCAGGATTCCAGACATTTTGGCCTACAAAAAGCTGACAAGCTCTACCTGCAGAAAAAGAAGTAATGTCCTCATCTTAAAACTCAGAATTAACTTTATCCACCCACCCTGTCTGCTCCATGGGTTACAGTCAGCCAGAATATTTCCTTTCTAGACTTCTGCCAAGCAGCCCTTTGATAAACCAGGACTGGAATTGCTGATTAAATGTTTTTAAAAGTTAGTCACTTCTCATAAGAATGTACATGTCTGGCTCCATCATTCACTTGCACTGTGCCTCTCTGCCAACTCTGACCATGTGATTTTATATTCTCTGATGAAATAGGAACAGCTTCATTCTGGCACGACTTTTTAGCAGCCTGCTGATGCTGCAGTGAATCAGATCATTTCCATTGCTCACAGTCTCTTGGCACAGCGTGGTTTTCCAATCTGAGCCAGCCAGCGGGGTGCAGTGTCCCTTTATGCAGCGTGTTTGTGCCAGCAGAGCTCGGAGCAGCACTGCTGGCAGTGTGTGCCTGCAGAATGGGGACCTCTTCCTCTGAGACATCACTCCCTCTCTTCTGAGCAAACATCTCTTGTTCAAAGTAAAAGCTGATGAACAGCTTTTCACATCTGAATAACTGATTTAGATCTTATTAAATCTGAAGAAATATTTTAAGTTGAACTTGTTACATCCCATGCATTGGACGCTTATGAGGATCTTTGCAAACTCCAGCCAACAAATGATCCATTAGTAATTGTCATGAAAAAGATTAATAGTTAATTAGGCAATTATCACCGATTTGAAAAGCTGATTCAAGTGAGGTAGTCAGGTGATGGATGGATGTGGAGACTTAATTATCGACTCCTCGGTACAGATGTGCTTCCCTGGACAAAAACAGGTCACCTGTCAGGATGAGGCTCTTGCTGTCCTCCTGCATTCAGGAGACACCACCAACCACCCTGCTGTCTTGTCAGGTGCAAATATTTGTGTGTGTATATTTTTTTTATCTAAGTAAGATTTACAGAAGATGCTTTGAATGCATCAGGAAAGGGGCATGAAAGAATTGCACGTTTTTGTTATTGCAAACACAGCAATAATTATTTTTTTATTTAAATTCTGACCAATTTTGCTTTGAGAAACCAGTGAAGTTCCATTGCATTAAAAATACTGACATGGCATAAAAAGCAAGTGTATGTAGTTGTGAGTGTACTCAGTTGTGCCTCCCTGTTCCAAACCAAACCAGTCTGTTACCTTTCCTGGGCAGTGATAACGTGCAGGTGCCCACAAATCCATTTGGGATATCAGGGGCAGCTGTTTCATTCATGGCCAGGTGCTGAGCTCCAGCAGCTCCTGCTCCACCGTGGCTGGTAGTTTAAAACTGTGACAGGGTTCCCTTCCCCCTGCAGTAAAGTGATAGTAAACCATCCTTGTAAGAGAAAAAACACATTGCTTTATTTCTGAGATAAACCAGCACATCATGGAATGAATCAATAGCTTACAAGTTTCAGATCATGTTTTCATTCCACTTAGGAAGGCATGTAAAATCCTGGATTGGTTTTATAATCTCAAACAGTTCACTGTAAATACCCTTCTCTCATAAAGATTTTAACATTCTTTACAAGCTCAAATGTTTCTAGGAAGTGCTGGAAGCAGCATCCTTTGTAAAATGAAAATGTAATAAATATTTTTTAAATTAAAACGC